CCCCCCCCCCCCCCCCCCTTCTTCCCTCCCTTCCTTTCACCTTACTACTGTAAATATGTGATTCCGTCTGCACTTGCCCTCTTTATTCCTGGAAGGGCAAATCATTGTAGCTCCTACCACCATAGAAAAAATCACAGAACAGAACAGCAACACTCAAAAGTTAGAACAAAGAGTACCTTATTAATTTCTTCACTTAATAAAAAGATCCTCTTGCTTCAGGGATCTATCGTACAACAATTTGAGTGGACCACTGCCAGAATTTTTAGATCAACTGCCATTTCTAAAAATGCTGTTAAGTGTACTGATAAAAAAATAATTAATAAATTTGCTATGAGTACCTGACATATTCTGCGGTTCTTGATCTTGTTCTACAATATCCATTTGATTCATTTCATGCTGTTTTGGACAGTAATTTAACGGGAAACAACCTCACAGGTGTCTTCCCCCTGGCTCTAGAGCAAAAAGTCAAGGATAAAACATTGTTGTTGAGGTTTGTGAATCTTTTAAATCCACAAATTCATTCTGTTATTGGTTATCTTCATTTACATTTCAGAAACCAATGGCAACCATGTAATGCGAATGTTATTAATTGAAAACTAATACACTGATTGAGACGTTGATCATGTCCCCCAATGCAAGAGTGGACAAAAATCCAAATCTTTGTCTAACGGATTCATGCGAAAAGACGGTTGTGTTCTGCAATGCAAGCATGGACGAAAATCCAAAAGTTTGTCAGACAGATTCACGCAAAAAAAAGACGACAGATCTTATTCCAGTTCTTGTACCCATTGTATCGGCATTGATCCTGCTCCTTTTAGGTGGTCTTGCCATCTTTTGGACTCTCAAAAGGAAAAAAAGGGGAGGTAGTTTGTTTATTTTTACTATTCTCGGTTATCTTTGTTGAAGTATAAATATTTAAGTTATACTTTTTGCAACATCTTAAGTTTTTGAAGTAGATGGTTGTTTAACATGATATCATAGTAGGAGGTCCTGTGATTGAATCACACCATCACCCTAATTATTAAAAAAATTTTACTTGTTAGGCCCAAAATCTTGTCGGCCCGTGCCGGGCGTGTTGAAATATAAATACTTAAGATATACTCTCTTCAATAGCTTAAGCTTTTGAAGTAGATGGTTGTTTAACAATCGCTATTGATTTGGCATTTGATGTTATAGTTTGGTCCCATGTAGGTTTCTTTACTGCAGCTTGAGTGCGACATAGGTTCTCTTCCTTGCATTAAACCTTATTTTGTATATAGTCTACTAGCTATTTACATACCTAGGTAGGTCACCATGGGTGGGACAGGGACTGTCATTAGGCCTTTGGGCCATACAAGGCCACAGTTCTTTTTCTAGCTTTTTGGCCCAAAAGATTTCTACAAATTATAAATCCGTTACTTACAGATTTGATCACCCCTTGTATGAGCAGAACCAGATAAAAATGCCAATCAAATCCACCAAAATATTTTAAAACAAATGTCCCCTTAATTTGGAGTGTTACAAGTCCCGACTAAATATCAATACTTGCAGGAAGTAATGGCAGTAAAAATCTGAGCCCTGGAAACCATAAAAAATATGGGAGATGGAATTTGACATAAATATCACAATTTTATAGAAGAGATAATACATGTATAAAATTCTTTTTAATATGTTTGTGCTTATTGCAATTGTTATGGTCTTGTTTTCCATAGAAATGGTGGTTGTTGAAGCTGGCAAAGAGGGATCGTTTAAGTCAAAAACCCGAAAGTTTACCTTTTCTGAGATTGTGAGAATTAATGGCATCTTTGAAACAGTTATAGGAAGAGGAGGATCTGGAAAAGTTTATCATGGCCGCTTGAAAGATGGCACTCAAGTTGCTGTGAAATTGCTCTCTCCATCATCAACTCAGACAAAGGAATTTCACACTGAGGTATGATACAGCAATTTGGTAGAGGTTCTTTTCACTAGTTACTAACCATGTTCGCCATTTAATTAGCATGTCTGTTGACAAGATTCATTTCATCAGTTGTAAGTCAATTTGATTTGCAGGTACAACTCTTGATGAGAATTCATCATAGAAACTTAGCTACACTTCTAGGGTATTGTTATGAAGGTAAAAATATGGCACTCATCTCTGAATACATGGCTAATGGAAATGTGCAGCAGCATCTATCAGGTATCATTATATGTTGTTATAATGCTCTGCCATAGTCAATGGACGGGATTGTCACTGGACCTTCCTATCTGACGCAGATTTAGTTCATAAGATTTTTCATTTTCCTAAACTAGGCATCTGTGAAATTCAGCATGATTCTACATAACCTTTAACAAAACAATTTGGGAGTTGGCTGCACATCTTATTCCATCTCATTTTCTTTTATCAATGGCCGGAATGGGGCTGGAACCTTTTTATTCTTCTGTTAGTCATACCACTTGCTTTAACTTTACTGACTTCCCTTTTCAGATCAGGCAAGCTGTTAAAAACTTTAAAGATTACTTTTTTGACATGGCACTTGATTTTCTTAATGAAATTTGGCAATTTTTGCCATAAAAAACAATTGATTGCTTCTTTTTTTTTTATTCAATGAAGAGGAATATTTATATGAAAAGAATCCATAAAAAAAATTAAAAAGAAACTAAATAGAAAATTTCCAACAATAGTAATTCAATTAAGTGGTGACTGCAGAGAAAACAGCAAATGTTTTGAGTTGGAAAGAAAGAGTTCAAATTGCAGTGGATGCTGCACAAGGTCAGCAAGCATATCTGGCTTGCCTTTTCTCTTTCCTCTTAATGTCATTTTCTTCTAGATTCCTGAGCTTCAAAGTAAGCTAAATGATGACAATTTAAACCTTAGGATTGGAGTATCTACATAATGGTTGCAAGCCTCCTATAATCCACAGAGATATGAAGACTGCCAACATCTTGTTGAATGAAGAATTGCAAGCCAAGATTGCTGATTTTGGGATATCCAGAATTTTTGTAACTGAAAGTGAAACTCACGTGTCAACCGATGTTGCTGGTACACATGGTTTCCTTGATCCAGAGTAAGAGTTTTGATACCTCGCTAAATTTATATAGATGAACATAAATTCTAATCAAACAATAATGTTGCTCTGAGCTTGCCAATAAAAACATGGGCACAATTTCAATGTTCATACTGGTTGAACATGTTGTTCCTTCTGGCAATTGCAACTTCATACTACAAATGACTGTAAACCCTATCCAAGAATGACTAAGTGAGGGAGTCTTATTAGTTATATCTAGATAGCCGTGAAATACAGCTTTGAAATTGTCTGGCTGGATTTCAAGCACAGGTGTTTTGACCTGCAGATATTACTCAACCTTCAAGTTAAATGAGAAGAGTGACATTTACAGCTTTGGGATTGTACTTTTGGAGCTAATTACTGGCCAACCTGCCATAACGAAAGAAACGAAAGTCATTCACTTAGTTGATCGAGTTAACAACATGCTTGCAAAAGGAGATATTCAGAACATTGTGGATCCAAGGTTGCAAGGAGATTTCAACATCAACACTGCCTGGAAAATTTTACAGACTGCCATGGCATGTGTACCAACAACCGCCACCCAAAGGCTGAGCATGAGTCATGTACTGATGGAATTAAAAGAGGGGTTGGCAATGGTGGCGACTCAGGGAAGAAGTTTGAGGATGGAGAGCAATGATATGGGAGCTGGGCGATCACTCGAATTGTCTCCCATAGATCTTGAAATCAGCTTGGCTCCCAAATCTAGGTAGATGTTAAAATCTTTTTCAAAGTATGATGTACGCTCCTGATTTTTCTTGCTTAAGACATATTTGCATGATGCCAGTCTGTTGGATTGTAGACTTCTTTCATATGTTTTATGGGTTTGTACTTAAATCGATTGTGGTGAATAAACTTGGTTTTTAACTTTTTATGGACTTAATGTAATACAGATGTTTTGATTGCATCCTGAGATCATGTCATGATCAAATACCATTTAGGTTTAAGTGTCTCAGACCCCGCCATAAGCAAAAATCTTGTGTATTGAGTATGGTTTTTAAATTGATATGCTTGTGTTAATATTTCACAGTTTTCCATGAGATTATTAAACAAGAAAACACTATCACTGATTTCTTGGAAAAGGGGTGTAAGAGAGTACTGTTAGGACTCTGCATCAGCAATTGCAACCTCAAAAGCAGTCCCTTTACAAGAAAAAAAGACCTCAACCAGTCCTGCTAAGACCTAAGATCAAGAATTGCCAAGTTTTGAACTCAAAAAGTCTAAAGAATTGTCAAGTTTTGTAGTCAGAAGTTTGAAGTTATTTTCCAAGAGATAGAGTTTACTCCTAAATGAGCATCCACATACACACATCAACTGATGTCTTTTTCAAAACCAACCTAAGAAAGCAAGGTTAGACAATGGTTCTTTTCCGGCCATTGTACAAATTCAGTCAA